CTGTTAAAATGTTGAACCGCTCCATGTACTCAACCATCTGCAACGTTATTAATAGCTTCTTTAACCTATATGTCTATGTTATGAATCACCAAAGGTTATTCTGAAACGACACATTTTGATGATTTGCATAAAAATAAGAAGTAAAATTTTGTAATTTTTAAATGAATGTGGGTTTAGAAGATTTCTAATGTCAATTCAAATATATACTTGATTTGTCCTCTATCATTATAATATGATATCATATATAAATAACATTTACTTGACCTAATTAGGTTTATTTAATTATTCTATAAAAATGTATGTTATTAATAACATTTTTTATGCTACTTTCTTGTTAACCTAATCATTGTAATTTATCATCATTTGGTCTAGAAATCAATTGTTTTCTAAATAAAAACATATATTCTTATTTTAAAATAAAAACTAGTATACTTAAGAGACTATTGTTAAACCTAATTACGTTTGCATATCATTAGCCTAATTCGTCATAATGTTTAACAATTTTTTTTATATGAACTATTTATTTTCAAAGCATTCATTATTAAGAGTTATGTTTGTATCATGTGTTTTTATAATATCATATAAGAAATTATTTAATATTATTTTATCACATGTATCATTTGTATATATTTGAATGCGACACATATTATCTAAATATCCATAAATTTATTTATAAATATGTACTATAATTATTATAATCTAAAAACATATCATAAATATTAATTATCACAAAATATATTATAATTAATATCAATTGATTATTTTATAAAATAATTTAATAATTATTAAATTTATTTATTATATTTTTAATATCTAATCATGTGTTAATATGACATATGTCATTCAAACCTATTTATAGATTTATAAATTTATTTTGCATATGATAAGATTTAATTCTTATATATGTAGTATTAGCTTACTTTTTCTCTGATATATGATGTGTATTTTTAATTTAGTTTTTTGTATGGAAAGCGGTAATTAATATTGAAAATATATATAGATTAAATTAATAAAAATTTTGGTATAAAAAGTTAAAAACTAAATTAAAAATTTATGAAAGAAATAAAATTATATATTAAAGTTATAAATTATAGAAAGAGGAATTATTAGAATAGTATGATATGTAAATGTAATAAACAATTTTTCCTGGATTATCGATCCATGTGATACACCTCCAGGCTCCAGTACTGTATATAAATATAAATATAAATATAATGATATATATGACAGTGGAAAAGGAGAATAGGCTTTGCGCGTTGGGTACGGTGACAGCTTTGAATTTCAATTACAATTCAACGTCTGCATCTCGTCGTCCATGTCGATAACCGGCATCCAGGGGCAACCTCTTGAGGTCACCGGTAAGCAGTACTTTCATTTGCTTTGGAAATTGGAATTTTTCAACTATTCACAACGGATTATGGATGCTTGCAGTTGTGTCGTGTTCCAAGTTGAAGGATACTGAATGGATTTCAAGGCAAGATCCGTACGTTTGTGTCGAATATGGCAGCACTAAGTTCCGAACCAGAACATGCACAGGTCATTTTCCATTTTTCATTTTTCATTTTCATTGACCAAGGTTCAGTTTCAGTTGACCTTTTCTTCCTTATTCCTTGTTCCAGACGGCGGAAAAAATCCTGTATTCCAAGAGAAATTCATCTTTCCCCTCATCGAAGGCCTTCGGGAGATCAATGTCCTTGTTTGGAACAGCAATACTCTCACCTTCGACGATTTTATCGGAAGCGGAAAGTATGCCTCTCCTCTCCTTTTCTCTCTCTCTCTCTCTTTTTTATTTTTTTTATTTTTTTATTACGTCTTTTCTCTTTCCAATATCTAAAATCTAAAATCTATTCTCTTCCCTTCCCCCCTCAGGATTCAATTGCACAAGGTTCTTTCTCAAGGTTTCGATGACTCTGCTTGGCCACTTCAGACCAAATCTGGCAGGTAACCCTATACCTTCCAGTCAATTAGGTCACCACACATACACATAATTCATAAGTTTCAGATTCCCTTGTTAAGAATTCTATTTTGTTTGCCTTTCCCGCTCTCTTGTTTACTTCAACTCATCAGAATGTATCTCGCACATTTCCTTTGGCAGATACGCTGGGGAAGTAAAAGTCATATTGCATTATGCAATTGCAAGTCAAAGGGTAAGTTAGCTACATTTTCATCGTTTATTTAGATGACTACTGTGTACACTGGACTGATATAAGCGTGTATTGTGATGGGATGGGAGCACAGCAGCAGAAATCAAGCTCAAGCCATACTCCATCAGCACCTCCCTACGTCCCAACAGCAACTCCCTCCGTTCCTTCATATTCTACTTCCTACCCACCACCTCCTTACCATCCAACTGGATCTTACCCACAAGTAGCATCAACACTTTCATACCCTCCACCTCCCACAGCTTACCCCCCCTATCCTTCACATTCATCTCCCTATCCACCGCCCTCATATCCTGCTTCATCTCCCTATCCACCATCCTCATATCCTCCTCCCCCTTCATACCCCCCTGCTTCAGCTTATCCACCACCTGCAGCCTATCCTCCTGGTAATTTCTTATTCATTTCTACTAATTACTCTTTTTTATCGTGCTTTTCTCGCTCCTAACTAGATCCTTATTCAGGAATATACCCTCCACCACCATACTGAGTCTGTCAGGGATCTGCTACATTCTCTTAGCAAGGAAGCAACATGCCTTGTATATGACTTGTATAACCTTCTTCCAGCTTTAGTTGTTATCAGAAACTCTTGTTTTTTCTGTTTCTTATATTTTTACTTAAGGAGTGTTTCTTCGATGTATTTAGTTTGTAGTCATGACTTTATCATATCTTAAAAGCCTAGCCAAGGTGGATTTGTAGAACAAAAATTTGATGCAACAGTACAATTTACAGGTGTGTTTGTTTTTCATTTACGTCACTGCATCACACTGTTCATGATCAATGCTCTTTGAAATATGTGTGCAAAAGGGACTTCAAGAGATCCTTTAAATGCTTGTTCAATATAAGATCATTTGCAAAGTGTTCCTAAAATAGAACATTCAGATCATTTGCATATCAAAAATATCATTCAGTATTCAGTATCATATTCTTGTTCAAATGGATCTGAATATGAATAAAATGATTGAAAAAAAATAACGATCAAGAGAAAGAAATAGAACAAATTGGAACAACACAAAGGTCTATGGTAACCATGAAATGTGAAAGCCCTAAGTATTATAAATAAGAAAATAGAACAATTTTTTTTTAATTTTTTTTTAATCGTAATTGTTAATTTTTGTCTTGATGGAGGAATTCAAACTCAGTCTCCTTATTACTCTAACGCTATGTCTCTTCCTCCTTATATTCCTCCCTATAGAACAAAATAGAACAAATCTTGATAGATTGGATGGTACGAAGGGGAAGGATTTGAATAAATATCTTGGTGGGTCAAAATTGTGGAGGGAGGAGGAAAAATTAGTCAAAATCACTTATTTATGGTATTTGGCTTCCCCAAAATCAGAAATATGAAAGAGGGGAAAATAATATTTTAATTTTAAGTGTGCAACAGCGACATTGACCATTTTATTTTCGCAAGGCTATTAAACTTTGTTGCTTAACTTGATTCTTCAAAACACAAAAGGGCAACTTAATACATGAGACTTTTACCTGGTGGTCTAGTGGGGTCTAGGAAAGGTAAGTCGCATCTAATGCAGAAATTTTTAAACCACAAGACAATCTAATCGTTACATTAAGATTCGTCCTTTGTTTAATAAAAATCAAAATCGATAAAAATAAAATAAAATAAATAAAACTGAGCTACGCTGCCCAATTAGACGAGGATGTAATACAGTAATAGCAATAGCACGGAGAAACGAAGCCAGTCCCACTCATCCAACAGTTTTACTTGATGAGATTAAAGCTATAATTTAAACTTACGGTTAGTTTAGTAGTTCAGGAAAGGGATTAGGGAAGAAGGGAGAAGATTTAAACTTGATTCTCATTACGACGTTGTAGTATTTTCTATAGATAAAAAAAGAGAGTTATAATTTAAACTTATAGGGCTCTGATTTCTTATACTTGGATTGGTCAATGATTAATTGCTCCTAAATAAACTTATTGCATAACCCTCCAGACGTTCATAAGCAAGTTGACAAGGTTGCTATACACATGGCATGAATTCCCTATTCCCCTTTCTGAAAAAACTTAACATATTTACCCCCCGAATCACTGCATTAAACAGAATTCAACAGGAAAAAAAAAAAAAAAACTCTGATATATATATATATATATATATGTAGGGCCTAATAGTCCACCTGTTGGACCACTATAGTATGATATTATCCGCTTTGAGCTAGGCCCGCATGGTTTTGTTTTTGGGCTCCTTCCCAAAAGACCTCACACTATATGGAATGGTGGACACCCTTATAAACTAGGCACCAATATCAGGAAGACTTTCGACACAAGGCACCAAGTTCGGATCTCTTCTCCAGGCACAACACTGAGGGTCTTCCCGCATGGGCCGGATAGTCCACCTTTTGCTCTACCATAGTATGATATTGTCCGCTTTGGGCCAGGCCCGCACGATTTTGTTTTTGGGCTCCTTCCCAAAAGGCCTCACATATATGGAATGGTGGACACCCTTATAAACTAGCCAATGTTCCTTCATTTTACAAATGTGGGACTTGGGATGAATCCCAACAATATACATACATAAATACACTCTAGTATACACATACTAATGCAAAGTTCTTTATCAAAAAATACTAATGCAGAGTTGAATACACATATCTAAGTCTTAGAATAGTGGATTTGAGTCTAACTCAATCCCACAAAATCAACTTATAAGGTGAGAGTTGCTTTCCACTTATATATTATTTAATTTCCTAATATCTAGTCGATGTGGGACTTGAATTTTTCTCAATACTCCCCCTCACGTCCAGTACTATTGAACTTGTTACGTGGATAAATGATAAATGATCCTTTTTAATGATCTAGGATTGGCAGGACTTGATTTTTTTTTTCTCAATACACTCCCTCACACTCATGGTACATGTACTAATGGTGGGTGACCTATTAGAGTAGATCTAGATGGCTCTGATACTATCTTAGAATAGTGGATTTGAGCCTAACTCAACCTACAAAATCAACTTGTAAGGTGATGGTTGTTTTTCACTTATACACTATTTAATTACCTATTGGAAAAAACCCAAATCCTACATCGATTAAAAATTAGACAATTAAATAGTATATAAGTAAAAAAACAACTCTCACCTTACAAATTGATTTTATAGATTTTAGTTAAGTTCAAATTCACTGTTCTAAGACTAAGCAATGTACTATATATATACTCCAACCTCGACTTCGGCAAAGTGACATCATGTTTAGAGTAGATACACGAGCTTAATAAATTTTGTGAGGATATAATTCATTACTTTTATTTTTCCTTTCCTTTAACCAAATCAAAGAAATTAAAAAGATGTTATTTTTAATTTTTCCTTCCTCTTCTGAACCAAAAATTGCCTACGGAAACAACAGAGATGACATTTTGATGATTGAGATGTAAGAGTTTACAGCAATGAGAATCCTGGATATGTGATTATTGAGGTACGTTATTCTTAATAGTTGCGGATTTGCCCCTTCATATAGAAAGACTCGGGCTCTAAGGTGAGGTTTGTTTTCGCAATCTCACACTGCAAACATTATTATGTAAAAGATTCCAAACAAAAATCCATTAGTGTGTTTAAAAGTGCGTTTCAATCATTGTCATTTGTAATACTTTCATCGAATATTATACTTCATATCCATGCTGCTTTTTTTTTGAAATGATTTACAGGAGCGTTTATGCACGTTGCTAAACGTTACTGTAGTAGTACTATCTAGCTGCACGTGGAAACCACTTCGTATTTATTTCGTTCCAAGCTACGCATATTTAAGAAAGCTACATTCAATTTCATGCTCTTCCGACGACTGCCATTTTCAAGCATAAACCACTGATGTCAGCATATTTAAAAAACAAAATGTGCAAACCTACTCAAAGTCACTCTTATTATTTGATGAGGATGCATCTTATGGGTGATCCCTCAGCACCAGCCAACCTAAGAGGTAAGCAATGGACTGTATATATTCCTGTTGCCACATCATCAAGCTTCAGGCCTTCCACGATAATGATTTCCTATAGCAGTGGAGAAAGAGAGAGCGACAAACACTATTTAATTAATGACTACCGTTCGATTCTTTGTCATTCAAAATAATACTAGGATAAATTCAATATAATTAGCTAACATATAGTGAAACATGACATGTATCATTTCTTAATCATAAATTAAATTTTTTCTTACCCTTCCTTCAAGAAAAACAAGGTGAGCTGGAATCAAGTGGTCGAAAGCAGCAACAGATAGGTAATCGATTCCTACATCCCATCGCATAAAACGTATCATTGCAACAAAGTTGAGAAAGAAAAAGAAAACTGTTAATGAATTGATAAAGTTTAGCAGCGGTATGGTCTCGAATTTATGGTCAGAGAGTTCAAGTATCAGAGTAATCATATATAACAATAAATAAAGGAGATATTAACTCTTTTATTCTCCATATTTACTCTCTTAAAACATGTTATTAATCTTTAATAAAATTAATTTTTATTCGTTTACAATACATATGTTTTTTATCCTTCAACTCATAAAATAACTACCGACTCCAATTAATAACTATCCACTCCTCTAAAATATCATATTCTTTTTCATAATTTATTCTCACATATCATGAAAGAATTTTGTACCCTCCCGATCTTTTGTCGCGAGGGTTTGACAGAGTGTCTATTTGAGTACTTCATCACTCGTAAGCGTGTTGTTTAGCGGTAGGGGTTGATCCACATTTAAGCAAAGTCAGGGGTTCGAATCCTGCCTTGTGTATGCAGCCGCGTTAAATCTTGGGGCCAGCTATCCCACCCTTTGAGGTGCCTACCTCGTAGCGAGGAGATTAGTCACTGCTGTCGGCGATGGATCACTACAATTGCAACTTCTGACCTTGTGGTTAACTCTATTTTTGTCATTAGACACCTCTTGATCTTAACATGTTTACACGGTCAACAAACTTGAAATAAAAGACAGTTAAATATTTAATTTCATCTCTCATTTTTCTTGATATCAAATTTTGTTTTAGCAAAACATATATATATATATATATATATATATAATTCCAAACTTATAAAATTGATCGCTATATATAATATATGAATTACTTTTTGATAATTTTATTTATCTAACATTCTTCGCTATATATAAATCATGCTAGACCTAGCTTATTGAAGATTTACACGATGACATCCTACATATTTGAATGGAATTTAATTCAAGTAACATATGCTATTATTGTTTATTTGAATCCTGTATTCTAATTTTGTTGTTATTTAGATATATAAACTAATTTTAAAATATTTAATCTAAAGAAATTGATGTTCTTTTAAAAAAATATTAAAATTCAAAAAATGAAAATATCATTCTTGTGACATAAAAAATATTTTCTTATTTAAAAATGAGTATAAATGTATATTTTGATTGTTTATTAAACCTGCAACAAATTTAATGAATATATAAAAATCATAAGGATTGCCTCTAATAAAAAAAAAAATTCTCTGCTGCTCAAAATCTTTTCAACCTCTTTATGTCTCATACATGTATTTAATTTTATTTATCTTTTCAACACATTTTCTGATAATTCATGAATCTTTTGCTTTTTTTTTTTTTCCATTTATTTGCACGATTTTGTCTTTTTATTTAAATATTTTTTCATTCATTTATTTTATTTCACATTTATTTTCTGTTCCTGTGATCATTCTTATGGAATTGCTATTTTTCATAATAATTATGTTTGCATATATGAAGCTTAAGTTTTTTTAAAATTGTATATACAATATTAATTAATGTTACTTGTGGAGAATATTTTCATGTATATTATTTTATATTGAAATTATTACAAGAAAAAATAATATTTAAACTGTTCGTTGTAGGAAAATTAAAGTAGTTGATATGTAAATGATAAAAATTTAGAATTCAAATTTTGAATATCAATAAATAAATAGGATGGCACCAAATAAACTTCTAGAATTGACTAGAAAGGGATAATATTTATATGGTAAAAATGATGGGTAAAAATATTTGTTGATTATCTATTGGTCATATTTTTTATTTATCAAAATTATTAATTTTGTTGATTTTGTTAGACTCACATATTCAAAGATTTATTAAATTTTGATTTTTAGCTATTAATCGAAGATAATGAAGACACGACTTGAATCAATTATACACCAACAAGTATGATGCGACCTGAATTAGATATTTGATCGAGAAAATTGAAAAATAATTATATTATATTAATTTTGTATATATTTTATAATTTTAATTACTAGTATATTATTATGAATGTAATTCTTTGTTTGGATTGTTTCAAATTAAATAAGACATAAAAATAAAATATGTGAAACTCTAACGTCATTAAATACAACTAACAATTAACTTGAAAAGACATGAGTAAAACTCACTTGTAACTCATCATCGACTAGACAACACGCACAAAAAATTAATTAAAAAATATGAACAAGACCAACTTACAACCAATCACAATACACAAAAATCAACTTAAAAAAACGTGAATAAGATAGATATAACCCATTATCACGCATAAAAAATAACTGAAAAAAACATAAATAAGACCACCTCGCAACGAGTTATGACTATGATTTGGAATGAGTCTTTTATAGTTCCTCTATCAGCAAACTAATGACAATATCAAACTCCCATTTATATAATATATTGCTACTTGATCGCACTGCTTAGAATTGTGCTGTGTTAATTTGGAAAATGAAAAACCTTACCTACAAGCTTGATGTCGGTGTTCTTCACTAGCCAATCTGCTCCATCTTCCGTGAATCCCACATAGCTTGAGTCAAATTCCTTCTGATACATAAGCCGCCTTATATTTTTTCAAGTTTTAGTTCCACATTTCACTTCTATCAAACTATAACATTAAATGTATATTAAGTCTTACCTATGCATTTGTCTTACTCTTGCATGTAAACAGACTAAAGTGACTCACAAACAGACAACAAATTATTTAAAGACCCAAGATTATACAAAAGCATTATGTTTTCTCGTAAGAAAATGTGATTCTGTCACTAAACTCATAATTCGCATTTTATGATAGAAGAGTAAAAACAGGACACAACAACTAAGACTAGTTAAGGTTTAAAAAACATAAATGTTATTTATACAACAATTTTATAACTAAGAGAAATATGAAATATAATAAATGACGAGAAAAAATATTGTATAAATAATATAACTCTTCAAACAAATATTATTGTCCTAATTTTTTCTATTAATTATAAAAAACATCATCTTATTTTTACTTTGATTTTCATGTGATATAACTTTTTTTTTTCCATATATATATATATTATGTAAAACTTTTTAATATATCCATTACGACATCATCCGCTTATTAATATTACTACGATGATAAAGTGAATTTTTATTAGATGACAAATGAGTCCTGTTAAACTAACACTAGAAATTTAGGTTTGATTTGTAAAGTAAATGGTTGCTCTAGCATCTTTATTATTTAAAGGGGTCTTAATTGAAAACTTAAGTTTAACTTATTTAAAAAAGTAGAACTTGAAATTTTCTTGTCCATTTATATCAAACTTGGAACATTTAATGACTCAAATTTGGATAATTGACAATATATATATATATATATATTCAATTATTCTAATAATAAAATATGCTTTAAATTAAATAAGTAATAATTTTTTAAAAATTATATAAACTAATATTTTAATTTGTATAATGTACATGTTAAATATTTATTATATTTTAATTTATAAAAACATTTTTAGATAAAATAAAAAATATTTTTATATAAGATAAAAATTTATATTTAATATATAAGAATGGTTAGCATCCAATATTTTTTAGCCATGATGAACTGGTTGAAAAGGTTAAATTTGTAACCGAATCATAATTAAAAATTAAACACAGCATAATGTCCTACTAGCTTGAAACAAAGCTAATTCATGAATCATAATCAGATTCAATGAGAGGGCGTCCAGTTTTTGAATATTTGCTAGGAAGAAAAAAAAAATTGTATAACTACATACATATTTCAAAATGAAGACCAATAATATGTGAACACGTGTTATATATATAATTAAACACTTATTATTATTTATTTATTTATTTTTACACATTAGATCTTACCATATCTTTTTTCTTTATCTATTAGTAAACTTGGTATTAAAAAATGTATAACACTTGACATCATATTCAATCTAGATTTATTGATATATATTAGTATATCATCAATGGCATAGATCAGATGATGAACATCCTGTTTACGTCTAAACCATTAACTTTTCGTCTCTAATCTATTATTATATATTTACACATCTTTATTTATTTATTTTCTTCTCTTTCTTTTACTTTTAAAGAGAAATGTCTCTTCCAATCACGAGAAAGTCGAGAGCAAGACAAAGAATAAAAAAAAAGAAAAAGAAAGTGAGAAATAAAAAAGAATGAATGAAATAGCAAGAGAAAAACTAAAAGTGTAACATATAAATTTGAACACATTACCTGAAAGTATTTAGTGTTCGGAAGAGCACACGACGTACGCCCC